CCCCCCCCCCACAAAAACATTGACAAAGTACATTGCTAATTGCTCAAACTAATTGCTTTCGTCTGAGAAATTAGAAATCACACTTTTTGCAAGTAGATTTTTAAATCAAAAACATGATATCAGCAAATTTTATGAACTATACAAATGGAAAAGTTTAATTAAACATTCGTTAAAAGGAAAATTTGGCTGAAAAAGGGACCCACAATAACACAGACAAAGTCGATTGCTGCCTCGACCTCTCATTCATTCACGGCGTAGTAAGAGAAAATGATCATGTGACGACGCAGGATGCCGATCTGTTTGCATAGCGTTCCCTTCTCAAAGAGACTTTTCATATTTGCCGCAGTTCCATGTCCCTTCTTTTCTAGTGTCTCTGGTTCAATTAAATTCAGGCCCAGATAATGCTCTGTGGTCTGCGTGAAAATGCTGCATGGTAAACTATGTGTATGTGTTCACAGGAATCATTGGGTTCTGCAATAACATTGTACATTCCATAGCACAGCGATTAGCTAGAGATTCCTATACTACAGTGTCCATTAGTCATTTTATTAATTGATATTTGCATGTTCATACACAAATAAATTTGAAAGTCACTAAAACATGTACTGCAATTAATATTCAATGTGCATTCCATTAAATCTTCAGCTTCCTGGTAGCATGCATGTACGATTACAGACAGTGGAAAACTACCAACCAGCTGATCCCACCAAGATGGAAGTATTGTCGTATCGTTCACAAATGTTACTGAAGTGGTTAAAAAGATTACAATTTAAAATGGGTCAGATAGAAATCCAGTCATCTGCAGCGACCCAGTTTTATACAGTGTGAAAATAATCATAAATTTGTAACTATACACTGCCAATATAGTTTCCGTATTTTTTGTGAGCAGATTAACTGAGTGATCAACTGTCAATTTAACCAACATGTGGCGATATTTCACCTGCTATGTACATTTTGTAATCGTGTCTTGTATATCTTTCCAGACCTGAATTGGGACCCCCTAGGTTGATCCACATAGTAGCAGTACCAGTTTTATCGCCTCACCCCGCCCCCTCCTTGTAAGAATACTCCCTCCAACTGTCTATGTCACTGAATTATATTACACTCTTATTCATCAGTGGTCCAAATTTGTATTGCTGGTTTGTTAGTTGAAATTATGTTTTTATGTGATCGTAAATTGCTTTTTGCCCTATATCTATGTGTAAGTTATACACAGTACATGTATTATTTTATCATGTAGTCAATATACACAAGATATTTATTTGGAACTAAATTATGTATTCAATACATCATACTAAATATTTTTTTTAAATATTTTAATTTTGTAGTGACTGAAAAAAAAAATGGAATGGCAATATTGCTGTATGATACACTGTTGCCACAGGAAGCAATGGCTACATTGCGAGTAATTTATAACATTAGCAAAACAGTGTCTCCTACTGCGATATTGCCATTCCGTTCATTTTTGCAACAGCAAGAATTTCATGAATGAACTTTCCTAAACTGTTTCCTACATATATATATATTATATAACTATGTCATGAATAAATACGAGAAAATCTTATGTGCATGTTGAATTATTGAGGTCCAGTATTTTTGGCATACAGTTGTTACCATATGAAACACAAAACCAACTGCTAGTGTTATTTTTATCTCTATATACAAAGGCCCTCTCACCACCATCACTCAATAATTTTGAGGACAATGAACATATAGGTTTAGCTGGTAGAAAATCGGCTCACGAGTTGCTGTTAATAATTTCAAAGAGGAGCGTTGTGCTGGCAGTTAACCGATTACTTATCTTAAAGCGCGGTAGATATATGGGTCTCATATAACAAAGATGGCGACTTTGACTGTTGCACAGATCAACGAGTACGAACTGAGACGTTTCCAAGCCTTAATTAAGTAATTTTCATGTTATTGGAAGGTATTGAAGGAGTCACCGGCGGTAATCAGTGCAAGTCGCGCCCAGGATAAACCTCATACTTAGGATTTCCATTTGAAGAGTGCATTGGATTGTGGGAAATCAATGTTCATCAACACAAATGTTGAACATGCGCAGAGCGTCGACTACCGCGCTTTAAATATGATCAAAAAATAAGTGTATTTAATTTGTATCACAAGGTATTTAATATATAAGTGTTCAAAAGTGGCTGGAAACAAAATAGGCATCAGTTTTAGAATCACAAACAATTGGTGTGTGTTAAAGTTCTATATATCTGATGAGTTTTAATAAAATCCATCTATTCACAAGATCAGTTCAGAAATTGTAGAAATGCTCTATTTGGGTGCATTTTTGCAATTAAATTAGCCACCAGGCAGCCATTTTATTCAGCCAGCTTAGATTACACATGTACATCAGAATTGAAACTCAAGGTAGAAGCCTACTCCTGATTTCATATACAGTATTTTCCAATAAATTGTACTTCTGAGCAATACAAGGATATTGACTTAAAAAAAGCTTAATTATTGAGAAAATTATTGTTGTATTTTAATGGATGATGGCTGAAAAAATTATATATTGTAAATGTTAGGGTATTTTTTGTTAGTCTCAATTATTTTAAAAATCTGAGTTTTAAAAAGTGGCAAAAAATTTGTCTTTAACATTGTGCTCTATGTAACTGTTCTAAAATTAGCATTTTTTGAAAAATATTAGGACAAGTTTCCCAAAATATGCAACTGAAACACACAGTCCCTCTATAGATAAAGGGGCTGTGCATGGGACAATGGCTTCATGATTTTACATAATAGACCAATGCACATTGTCATGTGATATATGACCAACTTTCTAAAAAATTATGAGTAGGCTTCTGCCTTTTTAATCAGATATAGATCAAATCCTGCATGCATACTTGGTGAGGAATAGTTTAGAATCCAACCTCATATACTCAATGTTACATTTTACTTTGACCACAAGCTCTACTTCTTGGGAAAAAAACACACCATTATGAAAAAGACTACAATATTGGGCTTCAATTGTTTATTTTAATATTATGAGTTACAAATAATAAGAAAATTATGCATCTTCTTTTGGCAGTGGTGGCTTAATATGGGATGGCAATGGTACAACTTCAACCTGCGAAAAAATAAATTCACGTTATAGTTTACTCGTCTCGCATCCACAATAAGTTGTTCATGTAAAAAAAAATTGTCACCTGATTGAAGTAAATTGATCAAACTGAACACAAAAAATAAATGTAGAAGTAGGTTTGGTTTATTCAAACGAAAATATTATCTTGAAAAATGTGTTTTGTTTAACAAGTTTACATGGGATGTCAGAGTTAGTACCAACCTTCTGTACTCTCATCGCCACACCTTCAGGTATATTTCTTTCTATATATTCTAATAATGTATCTGCAGTGCTACCAGTTAGATGTTGGAACTGAGAAACAAAAAACAAAAAATGTACTTTCATAACTGCTTTGGTAAGTCCCACTCAACAAGTGCACTGGTATAATTTCCAAAGTGATGTTGACAAAATTAGTTCTGGTATAGGCAACACTATGCTAGATGGAAAAGTCCTTGGGTTTATCATAGTTGAATACACGGCGAGACAGGGCAAGGGCAAGGGCCAGGGCCAATATAAAACTACTGGTGTACAGTTGAGCTTGAATAAGTGTATTTCATATAAGATCATAGTATAAAAAAAAAACGCATAATATACGTCTACAAACCTCTATTTGTCTCTTGTATGTTCTGATTTCATACTGGACTCTGTGTTTTTTGTAGATATGCCTTGATTTTAAATGTGTGATTCTGTTAATGTGTTTCCGCAAACACTGCCTGTTAATAAAACCAGAAATCGAATTATAAAATTCCGCAAACACTGCCTGTTAATAAAACCAGAAACCGTATTATAAAATTCCGCAAACACTGCCTGTTAATAAAACCAGAAACCGTATTATAAAATTCCGCAAACACTGCCTGTTAATAAAACCAGAAACCGTATTATAAAATCCCTCATTGTCAAAATTCTGAAAGTCCCTGGCAGTGACTTTTTCTTGTTTTGTTGGTAAAATGAATTATGAGTGGTTCTGAAATCTGATTTTGATCCATTTTTGGCATTGAAATGGCTGCCAATCGGACATCTTAAATCAGATGATGAAACAAATGCCTGTGCACATGTCCGATATATATATGATATAGGTGTCAAGTTTAAACTTGATCATTCTAGGCATCTTGGTTATTTGGACCAAAACTGTATTTTTTTAAAATAATATAGCTGCCAATCAGCCATTTCGAACTCAATACGAATACTAAAATGACATATCAAGGCCCCATTATGTTCACTGTAGTTTGAACAGAATGCATCCATCCAAGATTACAATCTGGATTCCATTTAATAGCTGATAAACACCCAATACATAATTCGGTCCGTGTGTGTTCAGATATTTTGCATATTATTACACTTACGTTTTAGGTTCTTTCAAACCGAGTTCATTGGCCGTCATAGTCACATATTGCTGATAACTTTCGATCACCGCATCATCATGGGATTTCAGCGTTAGTATTATCTTCTTGTACAAAACATCAGGTTCATTTGTTTCTTCTACCTGTCCCAAAATAGCCATGAAATTCAGAATTCAATACGACTACACTCAAGTTTTGTAACTGGTATGTATGCACTAATCCATTCACTGTGGGTGCATGACAAGTGGTAGATTAAAATTCGATGCTACCGTAATTGCTTTTTGTCATATTACCTATCACATTTTTTTTAGAGAGAAATCTTTGCTTATGCAAATTTGTTTATATCATTTTTTTTAAAAATTGTCCATGCAGATTCTTTTACAGTATGCATGAAATACAGAGATTTTTCTATGGTCACAATAGATAATATTTCAATTATTTTAATACTACACAGCCAATACAATGTGATTTTTGGTTTATATGCTATCCTATGGGTAATGTGCTTTTAATGTGTGTTTTTTCAAATATGTTTAGTTTCAAAATCTAGCCAAACCCTCATCATGAAAGCTAATTATAGTCAAATACCATCTATTTTGGTCTGTTATTAAGCAGTCCATATAGAGACGAGTAAAACTCGTCAGTGCCTTGATTGGACCTAATAGACAGACCTTTCTTTTTAAAGCAATACCCCTAGGGAGCTAAAAAAAACTCATCTCAAAAAAAAATAGATAGACTCACCTGAACAGTGCTGCTGAATTGTACGATTGGTTGACAAAAGAATGCTGTGAATAATAAAGATATCTATGCTTTGAATATAAGAAATATAGGTAATGAAATTCAGTAATGATTACAGGTTGTCATATTTCCACATATAGAAGCACATATGATCATTATTATAATCAATTATACTGACTATAGGCACCCCTGAGAAATAGAGCAAATACTGTACTCTATTTCGAACCAGTCAATGAAACACGTTCTAAACTCCACAATGATACGTCAAAGGAGATCACATTTGATACCTTCTCTTGTGAAATATTACGATGACATTATGGCTCAAAATGATGTACACCATTACAAACATTTCGTTAACATTTCATGGCCATTCAGAGATGGAGTTAATCTTCATTTTTTTCTTAACATGTTTTGACACCACTTAGTGAGAAAACATTGTATTTAAATTTTGTGTGTTAGTCGTACTGATGTCACACTATCAACGTGTTACCAGTAAAAAATTACCAAAACACAAAAAATAGTATTGTATAGTTTACCTTGGTTTCTAGAAACTTTGCTGAAATTATTAAATAAAAATAATACATTAATTCTGATTGCAAACACCTGGAAATAAATGGTTTTTAAAAATCAAGCTACAAAGTTCTAGACTCAAATCACAAAAAGTGCACAGATCTAAAGTTTAACACATTCAGTACCTGTCATACATTTTACTGAGTACTAGTGAACAATTAAATTTAAAAGATAAATATTTACCTGGCAACAACTTGGTTAATTCGTGGTATATGTTTTATGTATGGAGATTTCTGCAAAAATACAATGAAGGGGTTACTGAAATCTTATAAATGATCATTTGCATATTGTAAAAATATTTCATGCTTTGAGAAGTTTCCCTTTCTTCTTGTCGGTCATTTTTAGCTATACTAAGAAATAAATACCCCCATAAGGCAAGTATGATTGGAACGAAATTACAGTTGAAATTGACACAATGAAACCCTACAAAAGTAGCCATGTGCGTTACCCAAGTTTTTTTGTGCAAGATACAAAAGCACAAGAGCCCCTAAAAAGATAAATTTTATCCTACCAGACGCCACGTCTTACTGTTACCAATAGGCACAGAAATAGCTGAGAAAAACTGCTGACTGAACCGCACTGTTTTGCTTGCATTGCACACTCGGTGCGGGGAAAACAGAGAGTTAATATAAGGCAATATGGTCGCTGACCTCATTCACCTCATCGAGGGACAGCCGATTCGTCCAAATCACATTCATCCCAAGTCGATTTGTATCCCAAGTCGATTTGTCCCACAAGTTGATTTGTCCCAAGTCTATTCGTCTCAAGTCGATTCATCCCACAAGTTAGTTCATCCCAAAGTCGATTCGTCAGTTTTAAGTTTAGCCAATTACTAACTCGCCCAGTAAGCACAAAAAGATCCAAACAACAAACTTTACATATGCTCGTTATGCACTGGCATGCGTAATTGTTCGTTGCGCCATTTTGTTTTTGCCGACGTTGGGTTATACATTTGTACCACGGTTTCTAGTAACCGTGGTATATTTGAATCATCAATCTTACTACAGAAACGGAGCACTCTGTCGTCTACTCAGCTCTAAATATCAAGAGTCAGACCCGTTTTGTTGAGTAAATATGTGGAGGCGATGACGGATTAAAAGGAAAAATAGACTACAAGACTTGAAACAAAAGAGTTAAATCTGGATAAAAACTTGTCCTCTCTCTTCCCCTCATATCATGCACGGAACCTTCCACGGAAGTTTCGGCAACATATATATATATTATATCTCATCTTTCATGTCCCTGGTGTTGTATATATTTATAAGATAAATAAAATGTCATAATAATACTATTAATATTAACAGGCAACGACTAGTTTTATTCCATACCAGCCATCTAATAATTCGGCAAGATCAGTAAAACACACTTTTGACAATAAAATGGAAGTAGCGAATGCTCAAAAGAAATTGAAAAGCAAGTTATATATGTGAGTATTCATCTCCAAGTACAGTGAAACTAGAGTGAGTAACGAACACAATGACTGGCAGTCAACGCCTTCTGTTGCCAATAACTCATAGCATTCATACTAATAATCACAACTTTATTAGTTAATAAATACATATCCATCGTACACAAAACTTGTATTAGTATTAGTATACTAGTATTAGTTAACAAGCCATGCAGGCCACAGTCCCCGTTAGTTATCGAATTTAAGATATATAGTTTTGTTTATAATAATATAGCTGGAATATAACCATGTCAGGAATATGAACATGATGATTTGTATGTGATCGTCAAACGAGTACTTGTCCACATTGGGAGATATAGCCCTGGAACAGCATTAATTGAATCAAAATTGATTTTCTGATGCCTAAAAGTTTCACCGTAGTCATTGACACCTATTCAAGAGTATTGATGTTTATTGCGACTAGCGTGAATGGGCAAGCTTCGTTTCGACAAGGAGATGTCATCACTATAAACAATGTTAAATTATTCTTCAAATGCTCGGTTTATCTTTCGAAAACAACTAATTTTTTTATTTAAAAACAAATCATATCGCTTTCCCATCAAAATCCAAGCCAAAAGATCGTACAACAGCATCGGCAAATTTCTTCCATGCTGCGTTTAATAACACTAACATATTTAAATGAGCTATGGTAATTTAAACATGTTGGCATCATCCATTGTTTTCATTGGTTAATTATTGATTTGACCTGTCAGGTCAAAGAACACCGTCCAGGTCAAACATGGCGGATATTCATTTCTACAGCATCGAGCGTTAAAAATTAGATTGAAACCATTCACTTACGATGAAATAAGAACAATTCAATGAATTTATTTTTTGCATGTTATTATAATCATTACTAGGTAATAATCAACAATTGTGAAACGCAGCATGACCGAATTGCACTACCGCGATCATTTGCTACTAAGCAATGCAGTTGGGTTCGTTTTTATTTGAAACTTCTTTTAGAGTATACTTTCGTTGCTAATAAAATGAAACAAAATAATTGTATTTGGCACACAAGGTTTGTTAATGTGATTTTTTTGGAGAAAGATGCACGGTCTACTGTTTAATCCAACAAATAAAAATGTATAAAATTTTAGATTAGCTTTTGCAATAGTTTCTCTCGTTTTGTGTGGTCCAACTGCCAGCGTAGTTGGATTTTTCAATGAAAATATAAGCCCCCCCCCCAAATATTTGATGATCATTTTTTGAAAATTTGAACCCCAAATAAGGGCCCACCAGCCGTGCAGAATCCGGTAGTTTTTTTTTGTTTTTTTTTCCTGTCTTTTATAAATTTTTTTTATTCATATATTTCCCAAAAAAGCACATTACTTCAAAATAATCTTACATGTCAAAAAGATATACAAAAAGATAATTAACAACATAAAATGAAGTAATAATAGAAAAGAGAATGGGGGAGGGTGAAAAAAAAATTATTGGGGGGTGTTGTTAGTGTGGGGGGGGGGGGCTCCTTCCTTTTCTTTTATAAATTATTGAATTTCATGTATCTACAATGACTATATGGTAAGTAAACTTTATAAAATTAACTTACAAATATCCTTCAATCACTTGCAGTACTTTGCTCCATTTCATTTCAAACTTGTTTTCAGTTAAAACATATTTTTCAATGTTAATTTGGTTTCTGATTTTACTCATAAAATAAGCTATTGTTGGGCTATAACCAGTAAACCTGCTACAATACAAGACATATTTACCAATTAGTAACAACAAATTTAAAAGGGATTTGTTTTCCAGTACTCCGAAGATAATACTTGAACATGTGATTAAATTTGGGTTATCATCAGAGATCTTTCTCCAGGACTCGTCAAACGAATTCCAAAATCTTTGTGCTGTTGAACAATACCAGAACAAATGTTCTAAATTTTCCTCATTTTGACAATATTTACACAAACTATCTGTTCTTAAGTTATTTTTGTATAAGAATAAATTTGTTGTTTATTTTTTGTTCTGTGCAAAATTTTGAACTGAAAAATTCTCATTTTTTCTTCACATGTTACCTTTAATATAAGGTAACTCCCAAATCGGCTTCCATTTTCCTGCTATGTTCCGCCCATAAATCATTGAGCCATATTTAGTTTCTGAGCTTGGGGGTTCAAATTTACTTTTTACCAGTATTTCATAGAAATCTTTTGTTTTACCCTTCCCATAATCAATTGTATTTTGAACATTTTGTCCAGTTACATGCACACGGTCATTAGATTTCATCAGATTTTTCCATTTTGATGGAATTGCCTAAATAATACCTGTATATGTTATAAAACAGCAATATTATATTTTTCAGTAAACTGATCGCAAGTAAGAAATTTATCCATGTAAAAGGGAGGTACTGTAAAATGACTAATTTTCACTGGGTTTAAATTTCGCTGATTTGCCATTCCAGGCATATTTAGTGGGTTTTAAATTCACGGTTTTGTCATTTACATAATGTGTTCTATGCTAAATTTTACATATTCACTGGGTTTTAATTTAGCGCATTTTCCAGTCAGCGAAATAAGCAAAATTAAAACCCAGTGAATAATTAACCTCTTTACAGTATTCTACCATATATTTGGCCCAAATCATAATTGCACTGGAGTAAAAATCGCAAACACCCATAATTTCTAAAATAATAATGAATGAATACAGCTATAGTTGATTCTGTATCTATAATTTTAACAGCCCAGGAAAGTTTTATTGCTTTGTTCAAAATTTCAATATCCACCATACGAAGGCCTCCTTGATCATAGTTACCAATTAGGGTATTACTTCAAAATGTTTTCTACCCCGCCACAAAAAATGGAATAGCAAAGACCTAGCCTCATTAATAACATTACTTGGAGTTGAGATCGCAGTTATTAGTTAATAAATACAAATAATGTAATTTTGTAATTTGTATGCACTTTTTATCTTTTACTGTTAATTGCCTTTTTATTGTCTTGTAGTTTTAGTGCCTTTACTTCTGTACTTTCCAAAGTCTGTGCTGTGTTAATAAACAAACTATTGTCTCAAATCAGCCTCAAATAATCATTTCATGGTTTGCACCAGCATGTGACATCCCATTAGCACACTTTCCTGTATATAGTTGGCCGAACCTTCAACATAAACCGAAAAGACATAGGATATACCGCACGTTGACGTCAACCTTTTGCATACAAACACAGAAATTGTTACTGCACAAGATCGTAATGTTGACCAAAAAAATGGGACGAATCGACTTGTGGGACAAATGTGAATTGGTACGAATTGACCATGATGGTAAAAAGAGATGGAGTCACAGCCAAGCTTAGATCAATGGTACCAGGATGGTCGCCGCTGTTTGTACATGGATCAGGGAGTTTATTAGTCTTTTTTTACCTCCATGGAATCACAGTCCCTCTATGATAGAGTGACTGTGATGGAATTGACTGTGAATCTTATCACATGATAAGTGAAATCTTGTCCCTGACCTGGATTTCTCTCTCCGTCATTGGCTGAATTGCAGATTACTGCCTACAGTTCAAAATAGTCATTTTCACTGACGGGAGTCTATGGTGGCATGGAGCTTCCATGATGGTGGGTAATTGAACGTGGTGAATTTAAGTCTATGAAAAACGTGAGTCCATACGACTATTAAAAATCACATAGGACCAAATGGACTGACCTGCTGTGCGAGTTTTCGACAACTGTTTATGATAGTTTGTGCACTCAAACGAGCCACAGTTGCCATTGACATGTTTTTCGCTTCGACAAAAAACCCTTATTTCTCCTAATTAATTGGATTAACAGCTTCGCGAGAAGACCTGCTCTTCGATTGCGCCACCTACGACAGTTTTATTTCAAATAACCTTTGAACTTTGACATTAATGTTTATTTTTAAAAGTATTTAGTTATATACTAGAATTATTGGTAATTAAATAATTTAGTTCATCAAAATACAACAATTATAATACAGTCATGCTATAATTTATGAGCCGAATTTCAGCAAAACGAACTACAAGAAACAATTTCCCATGATGCACTGCAATCTCCATGGTCACTGACAAGCGTGAAGGAAAGGTGTTTTGTGTACAGCGTTTGCAGAGTTCAAAATGGTAAGTTGTCGTGACATTTTTTATCCATTTTCAATTAATTCGCTTAGCATTTTTAACAATCTGTCCAACGTGTCACTTATGTTGCCTTCTTGTTATTTACAGTCGAAAGGAACAACGATTAAAGAAGCCCTCGCTAGATTCGTAAGTACACACGACATGATCGAGCTCAATACTACAGGTTACCGTTTACAAAATCTGAAATTGGTCCTGCAGAGACGTGACCATTTATTTTTCGACGACTTTCTGGCGTGCTTTATTAATGTTGTAAAATCATTGCGGTAATGGTTGCCGCCTAAAAATGATATCCCGACATCTGCTAGAAAGTTGTTGTCATTTATACACGAATCATTGACATCGAATAAGCATGCCACTGAGACACTTAAATAAGGGGTGAAAATCCAAATATTTAGATTAGTTCAACTTCATTTATTTGGATTTTCAGCTCATAAGTAACTGACTGAAGCAGTTTTTTGCGATTGTGACTGACAACTGAATGTATATCGCCTACTCTTACAATGATTCACTAGGGCTACATTTTAATTAGGAAATTACTGGTTCAAAACTCTACATGCAGTCTATCCACATATTGTTGGATATTGTTGAATACCCTGGGCCCCAGAACTTTTAAGTGATTATACACATAATTACCAAACAATTCTGATTCTTAGGTAAATAATGGGGTCATGAATGTAGTCTTGTGATGGGAAAATGAAACAAGACAGCTCTCAAACGAGCCTGCACGTCTTCCTCAATATATTATTAAACAAACAGATTTATAGACATACATTGATAAGTAATTAAATTAACAAAATTATTCTATTAATCTGTGGTAGGAGGAGAAAACAGGACAGAAGGCATCTGAATCCAAGGAGGTGAGGTTGTATATGCAGATACCACCGATAGAAAAGATGGATGCCTCCCTTTCGACACTTACCGCATGCGAGTGAGTATTCTATTTAACCATTAAAAAAAAATGTTAAATCCGAATCATAAATAAGCTTGAGAATAGTAAAACAAAATTGCCATTGTGAAATTAAGTGATCATGTACATTTGCCTAGTTAGTAGGATCTACACATTTATTTGGTTTATCATAAACACATTGTAGTATAAAATTCAATCTCTAAATTCTATTAACTTATCAGATATTTTGTTATCTAATTTCTAAACAGAGTCACTATACACTATTATTTGCTGGCTGTTTGAGCACCAGCCACAGTTAGCATTGTATTGTGATCACAGTATTACTTCTGGGTGCAACTTTCTTGTTGCTCAGTAGATTTTTATCATTTGAGCAACTTTTGCACTGAATTTCATGCATTCGTCAGTAAAATATAATTATTCATGGAGAAAATAATAAAGTTGATTTAGTACTAAATGTGCAAAACCTAGGTTGAATGAGTTGCCATTTTGTCTTCTGATTTTATTACAAATATGATTATTTGCAGGAAATTGGCATTATCGACAAATGCTATTGAGAAAATAGCAAATCTTAATGGCTTGAGTAAGTACAGTATTCACATCTTCTGGTTTGTTTGATGGGATATTCTCTATACATGGGTAAACATTCTTGGCATGTATCACAATTCCCACACATTTTTGTGGGCACAATTTTCTGTGTGTTAACAGTTACATTGAACTGTGCCTTGTTAATGATATTTTCTATTGACACTATTTTTGTTTTATGCTTTTAGTTGAGTCAATATAGTGAATCAACTAGATTGTATAAATGATACTTATTTTTGGATTTTGTCAAATTTTTGTTCTCACTAGAAAATCTAAAAATTTTGTCACTGGCACGGAATAATATCAAGAGTTTGAATGGTTTGGTGAGTAGAATTTTGTTATCTCCATTATGTGCAACCACAAAAGTACAGTTAGAACTAAATTTTATAGCTTTTGTGAAGCTAAAATATTGCACAGGTCACTGCTACTCCCTCATCCATCCAGGGATCTCGCCATGCTGGTCGGCCCGACGGGCACTTAAAATTAGCGACCACCACGAAAATGGTTCCGACCAGGACTATTGTTTGATTGTTATGATAATTATGTACCGACCGACACGCATCCTGCCAGTCGTGGATTATAATTTGTAAACAATAGACCTCGTTGCACGATACGTAGTGGCTAGTCATTTTTGTGAAATTAGCACCTCTTTGTTTGTAAGTAAATACTTTCTGCGATAGACGTAGTCTTTAGATTGAAAGCTAAAATTCTTTCAAAATCAATTTCATCAAGCAAGCAAGTGAATTTCCTATTCATGATTTTCCTGGATTCTTGAATTTCATGAAAATTTGTCAGGAAATTAAAGTACTTTACACATATGTACTTAGCTTCAAGCAACAACTATGTTTTGTGATTCTTTAATTTTGTTTCTTGGCAACTGTGGGTAGATTGATGATTTTCACAATGTCAGCCAAATTCTGGCCAAGAATATTTTTTTATATATATATAAACATGACATATATGTTGTTATGTTTATACTTCATAGGAAGCTGTAGCAGACACACTAGAAGAATTGTGGTTTTCTTATAATTTGGTTGAAAAGTTGAAAGGAATTCAAGTTTTAAAAAAGCTCAAGGTAAGTGAGCATCAGTTTATTTACTATCATAGCACATGTGTTTATAAAATAAATGGCAACAGTGTAGGGACAAAATTGGCTTAATAACCGCTATGATAGTGTCAGAACTGTTAAATGAGATATCAAAATATCTGTCACATTATTATGTATATTACATTGTATGTTCAGTGTAATCGGATCAAGTAAAAATTAAATTCAATTATTTTGTTATAATTTATAGGTGCTGTACCTGAGTAATAATCAAGTCAAAGACGTAGCAGAATTGAATAAATTGGGTGAATTGCCAATGCTTGAAGAACTTGTATTTGTTGGTAACCCATTAGAAGAAAAACACTCTCAAGAAGGCACAAAGGAGGCTTACAAAAACCATGTTAAAGGAAAAATGCTTAAATTGAAAAAACTTGATGGTATGGAAAGATTGATTGCTGTTTATTGTCTCCAATTATTAACCTTGTTATCTGGTCTTTCCTTATTATGACTTATTATAGGCCACTCTGGGTGAATGCTTAAATGTGTCTGACTTTTCGGCTATTTTATTGTGAATTATCACATGTACCAGGGTATACAACAGTCGTTGATTTAAAATTTAATGTAACTGCCTATTTAGTTTTGGGTAGTCTAAGTTTACATTTATGGGAAACAACCAGATGATCATGTTCTGGCAGCAAGGAATTGAACTTAAGGTAGAGATGCAGTTTACCTGACAGGTATTTTAATTAGTTAATTAGAAAACCAAGATGACCTCCCTTGTCCACAAAACTATATATTTTCGGAAAGTTTATTGTATGAATTTTAAAGTTTTGTTAGTATTTTATTTTTATGGACACTGTAGTTTGAAATGTGCACAAAAATGTGCTTTTTTGGTCAAAAGTGATTAAAAAAAAAATTAGCTTCTAAACCATGCTTCTGTTTCCTGTCAAAATTGGTTTATGGGTACATCTATTTACTATGAAGAAAACGCTGTCTTGAAAACTGTCTACCAGTTGTCAATTTTGTAGGACAGCAGCTCGAATTTCACTACGTCAAGTTTATGCATAAATTAACACCGAGGCTAGTTGTCTGTACGAT